CTGCCTAAACGGAGACATTTCGTCGCCTATTTAGGCAGATTGTAGCCTAAACGCCTTTTACGCCTCGACCTGCAGAGGAACGAGGAAGCATGCAGTGACAAATCTATCTGCGATGACCACCCTCCGGCCGCACCACCCCCCGCTGGAGTGGTCAAGTGTCCGGCGTGTGTTGTCCGTGCCGAGTGGACGGTCCGGTTTAGATAGGTCGAACTCCGCGGGCCCTCATTTTAGGCAGACATTCCATAATGCCGCGCGTTCGCCACCGTTTCTGCATTGTATGTTCTTGCTTCGCTCCTAAACATCATCCATTGTTGTTTGACTGCTCGCTGTTCACTTTAGTCGAAGTGGACGCGTTGCAGGTGCTAGAGTCCAGCGGTTCTCCTCCTGATGACCACTGCCACTTCTGGGCCCTGTCCACCCGGGATGTTTGTTGTGGCCAGTTCCTTCACGGACGCTTGCTCCCTGTGGTCGGTCGGTGGAAAGGCTCGCTTTCTTGTTTTTGCTCTGTTTTTATGGAACCGGTTCACTCTTCACTGGAAGCCATTGAGGCTGACCACAATGCACACGGTGAGTGTGTGCGGGAGACATTGCAGTGAAACCTTTTCAGAGGGTGATATCATGCTGGGTTGCTTTAAAGAGAGTCTTAACTGCGTTTATGTTCTCCGGCTGGGCCGTTAGACTTTTAGCCCTGTGAAGTATGGTATTATTCCTTAATGTAGTACGCCAATTCGGTGTTTTGTCCCTGCTCCCTTTCACCACAGGAAAGAAGTTTCAGTGGGGCAGCAGGCTAGATAATTTTCCGCATGACGGATAGCATGTGTAAAGTTTTCCAAGGATACACAGGGTAACGTTGGATGGTAACGTAATGATTGTTTAACATGGTTACGTGATAGCAACGCTGTTGTTGCCAGTAAACGTATTCAGACCTTTCTGCAACACTCCGAGAAGTGAATACTGTCGTTTTTGGTTTTCACACTGCAGGGGCTGAAGCTAGTCACTGACTGTAGCCAAAACAAAAGGACAATTCATGTTTTAAATCAGTCTCTTTTTTTTTTTGCACGCAAGCGCGAACCGCAAGAACTACGACTGCAAGGCGTATACTGCGCACCATTGAGCGAGACAGAATATGATTGGGAACTTGGACCAATGCACATCTCGAAATGCTACTTTGTTTTTATTGTGGTCGTAAGCATGCTTCACTGCCTAGCCGCGGTGGTTGGTGGTTATGGCATTCAACTGCTAACCCGAAGGTCCCGTCACGGCGGCTGCATTTTCGACGGAGACGCAAATGTCTGGGGACCGTGTGCTTCGACATAGGTGCCCGTTAAAGAACCCCAGGTGGTCGAAATTATCGCTCTCCACTACGGCGCATCTCGTAATCATATCGTGGTTTTGGAATGTTAAACCCCAGACATTATTATTAGCGTGCTTCACTATTGACAACAAAGCTATACCTTACGAGAGGGGATGCGGAGGCCAAGTGCCACCCCGCTCCTGAACTTTGCGCAAAAGTGGCAAGATCGTCTTCCTCCATATGTTAGAGGATTGTATGCTTACAGGGGCATATATGCTAAAGAACTGAAGGAGATCCAAATTCCTATATTCTTCCACCACGGCGTCTCTCATAATCATATCGCGGTCTTTCCTTAAACCTCCAATTATTATTATTATTATTATTATTATTATTATTATTATTATATTATTATTATTATTATTATTATTATTATTATTATTATTATTATTATTATTATTATTATCACTGCCTCTTTTTTTTACTCATTGCATGCCTAATAAGCATCATTTGTGGGCTGGATATTGTTTCAGGCATGCAGCAATGTGGTAGTCATCTGGGATGAATTTTGCGCAACAATATTCCCGATTTCGATAAAAACTGCGACGAACGACGAGTTTAGCTTACGTGCCTTCCTCAAGTGCTCTTTCATAACGCCTTTCAAACCACCTCTCAACTGTTGTCGCGTCTGACGGAGAGATGGCTTTGCGTATAGCATATCAAGCTCATATTTTTAACTATTTTTGTTACACTTTCTCTTCACTGTATAGCTTTGAAAGTCTTTGAAGTATGCAAGCATCATATTTTATTCATACGTTTATTCAGATCTATTGGCAAAGAAAATTTTTCGCAATACTCGCCAAGAGAGTCTTACATTTGTGTTCACTGTGGTGTTCAGACTAAGTGTTCAAAGTACACGTACGCGTTCGATAACATGCGTAAGGGTTTCCCATTTTCATGCCAGTTTTCATTATATTTTGTGGCATAGCTGAACCACTTCTGTTTATTTTTATTCATATTTATGACACAACTCACATGATCGACATATGAGTTCGCATCTTTGTGCAACTATAAAGTAGGCTGGCTCCTACCATTGAAGGCTCAGTTCGATCAACACTGGTATGTAGAAACCCTGTATGATTGTGCTGGTGCTGTCATGCAATCATTGTGTTATGTTGCTCATCAATACCAGACGCTAACAGCTCATGTTTATCGTGGTAGATGAAACAGATGTTCGCAGTTAGATCATAGCAGTATAATGCTAACGGCGTTCATCCCTTAGGTGATGAACGCTTCAATTGCTGAACGCAACAACGACAGCCGTGCGTTCTTAACCAATCGGCGAGAATGAAATCTGGCAACGTGAAATGACAAGCCACCTCGTTAAGAAATCAGATTTCCGACAAGCGCATGACCTAAAGCGATCAGATATTGGAAAACGGTGCCTACGAATACGTGTGTGACCGCGGTGCACATTAGAGGGCTGCATTTCTCAGCGCTCAGAACAGCCGGAGTTATTTACTTATTTATTTATTCATTTATTTATTTATTTACTTATTTGTGTACTTCGGGCGAAGCATTTTAGGGTCTCGGCATATTATGCCTTCGTCACGGTTCATCATACGGTAAAATAAGACGAATGTCACTATAGACTCAACGCCGGTTTATACTATATGCATACTATGATTAAAGGTTCTTTGTGACTGCCTAAAATGATATGTTCGATTCAGGGGGCGATGTTAGAATCCACTAAGAAACTTACCATGACGTTCTATTATCTGATCAAAAACCAGGAACACACACGTGAGTCTCTACGGTGAAGTCATCAATTTGTCCCCTTGTGGACTAGTGGTGAGTATAAAACACTGAATAGCAAAACTTCGCGGGGAAAGAGTTTTTTAGCGGGACGGCTCAGTGCTCTCTTATAGTTGAGTACGAAGCACTCTAAATCGTTAAACATTATTTTTTAAAAACAAGGACACTCACACGGCACGGCTTTATGCTCTGCCATAGTAGAGTACCTCGTACTCTAAATCGTTAAAACTTTTTCTAAACACACATAGTTCCCATGTGAGAGTAAAGCGGTTCGCTTTCTCTCTCATTTTTGTCGATGCGGCTTCATTGTGAGGCTCGCGGGATGACTTTCAGCTCTCCCATAGTAGAGTTCATGCCGAGTACTCTAAATCGCTACACTTTTTTTAAACGCAACAATGGCATGCACACATTCATGCTTCGTCATTTCCCCGGTTACGCATTAGCGAACCTGAAACACAATATTTTTCTGTCTCTCTCTCTCTCTCTTTTTTTTTTTTTTTTTTTTTTTTTGCGGCCCCACCTACATCGTCCACGACCCTTGTGGGGCACTGTGCACGAGCTTCGTTTGAAATGTCCCAGTGATGGCGTCGTATTGGTGCTCTAGAACGACTACAGTTCCTTTAGACACTGCATCCATCTTCAACGAATGTTCAAGGACACCTTTGGCGAAATGCCACTCAAGGAAGCCTTGTCGGTGTGTATCACATGAGATATAGTAAAGCGCTCGTATAATGTGCCGCAATGCAGATAATCCTCTTGATCGCAAGTAAAAATACGTGCTCTTTGCGCATTACATAGTAATTCAGCTAAAGAATTCACCAGAAGTTAATCCAGTGTGATTAAAAAAAAAAACTCCGGTCTGTTAAATAACGCGGCCAAGAACGTTCTTCCTCGTATAACTATATAAAGAGGGTGTATACATGCATTTCAGGACAGCTGCAAATAGCACTCAGCATCCGGTTTTCTGCATTTCAGGAAGGCTTTCCACTCCCATAGTATAGAGTACCAAGAACTCAAAATCGTTAACCACTTTTTCTAAGCACAGTCGTATTGAGCACATCATTTTTCAGATACGCAAAGGACAGTGATGTTTGTCCTGACACACCACTGTGCCGATAGGTATGTATGTATAGTAGTATGTACCCCTATATGTATTGAACTATGTATATGTACTATGTATTACCGCAATGTTATCATGTTTTTGTACGCAGAGTAGATAAACTTTTTTTAAACAAGTCACAGAAGACAAACCACATTGATTACGATTAAAATACAATAAAATCGTGACGTTTTGGCTCCCATCGTGCTTTTATTTGCTTTTAATCAGGGCCAGTGCGTTGTTTTAATTGTCTTCACGGCTCTTCCTGACCAGACGGGTTTACGTTCAACTATCGATTTTATAAACATGTCGCAGTTCGTTCAGAGTTTGTTGTGAATGTCGCACAGGTTCGCGCTTTCTCACAGTTGTGAACGTACAGTACTTAAGAGGCGGCCATCTCTGCCATTTACAATAAACAAACCACATGAAGCGGCGTCATACAGCTCCCTTGGTTTACTCTACGTTGTTTACATTTGTTCCATACACTCACAATACACAATTCAGCTCAGTTTTCTTTAAACAGAGAATGTCCTGTTTCGTGATAGTGTGTGTACATAGCGCTCTAAACCATGTCCCTTTTCACCAGGCACGCATATTTTTGCGTGTCCTCTAATTGAAGATTTCGCCCTAGGGATTAGTGAACACATATTCATCATACCTACAATTATCACCGGCTCCTCTTATGAGAGTATATTTGACCAGACTGCTACCACATTGCCACGGAGCTTCGCACCGTATGAGACTGGCTTGAAGTGAAGGTTCAAAGGGTAAATAAAAAACAGATTCACGCCTCACCTCGCCCGCTTCTGCCGACGAATCGCAGGTCGTTGAACTTGGCCACCTGGTTCTTCATGACGGCCGAGGCGTTGCGCAGCTCCCCGCAGTAGTTCTCGTCGTTGCCCGCCCTGAGCGTCACCAGCGTGCCGTCGCAGACGTCGCTACTGAGCGCCAGCACGCGGAACGACATGGGCAGCGTCTTGTTGGAGCGCCAGTGGCTGGGCAGCACCGAGCACACCACGTTGGGGCTTCCCGTGCGCATCAGTTCTCCCGGGTGCTCGGCCAGCACCTGGGTCAGGGCCCGCTCTCCCGGGAGCATCGAGGCCAGGTCCGTCGTCGCGGTCGTCGAAGCCGCCGAAGACGTCATCACGACGCCACCGCCGCTGTCTCGAAAGCCACAAGTGGACGAGATGGGGCCCGGTATCACAGTCTCTCGCTGCGGCTGCTGGTGGTGGCCCGGTAGGTGGGTACCGACGGTGCACGGCAAGTGCATGGCCGGGCAGCGGGGACCGGGGGTTCACCGGGGTAAGAAGGGAGAAAACTGGCGCGCCGAGGAAGAGAGGCTGCCGGTCGGAACGTCCCAAACACGCACGCACAGTTTTTAGGGAGCGCGAACACTTAGAGGAGGAGGGCAAGTGGCAGCAGAAAAGTTTGGGGCGCGCGCGCGCCTCGCGCGCGTTCAGAGTTTTGCGGATACGGTGTGCGCAGGCGCGTCGGATGAAGAGGCAAGGTGTCCGAATCGCTGCGGCCGAGGAGCGGGAAGGAAGAAGAGCGCTCCTCCCGGGGTGCGAGTCTTGGGAGCCCGATGGAGGAGAAGAGAAACGGGGAAAAACAAGAAAGTAGTCCGGAAACAGTACGGGCGGGTGCGCCCGCTCGTCGGAAAAAAGTGGACTTGGCGTGCGGCAGCAAGGCGGTTCTTGCGGGCGGTCGCTGGCTGGCGAGGTCCTCGCTCGGTGCGGCAGGGCGAGTGGAAGGGGACCGAAGCCGCGATGTGGATCACCGCCGCTCCGGCCTCATTGACACCGGGGCGAGCGTGGGCCCGCGGAGAGGGCCAGCCCCGTGGCGGATTGGCGGTCGACCTGAGTGACGTGTGCGTCGCGCCGGCCAATGGGAGCTTCGCCCGCGTCTCGCCTCCTGCGGTTTCGTTTTCCCGTACGGGCTTCTTGCCGTGCCGGGCAGCCCACCACGATGCACTTTGGTGATAGTGCGTGTGGGGTAGAGTTCGGTGATGGTGGCGGAAAGACAGGAAGAGGGTAGAAGGCAGGTCGAAAAGAAACACTATGTGGATGCATCACACAAAGTGGGTGATGGGTCTGCTTCAGCAGCCAGACTTCCTTTAACAACATACCACACCCCATAATCAAAATGAACCCCCCCGCCCCAGCCCCCGGCTTTGTTCTTGTGGCTACAGTCACAACCTGTCACGAGGCCAATAGAATTAACGACTGTATGTATAAGGACAGGCTATACTGCACCATTTCACTTGGCGTGAATTCAAGGTGAAATAGAAAACGTTCCTTCCGCCATCTAGTTGAATAGCGATATCTCAAATTTCTTAAATCTTTACGGTGAGTTTTACTCAAGAAGCTGCAAATACATTCGCGTGTAACGATATTTTATGGATCCTGCGGGACTGCGTTCACCATTGTAACAATTTCAAAATTGGTAGTGGCTAATTTTTTCGGCTGCACATTACTAGCGGGGCTATAGCAGTCTAATGAAGTTCGTACTTATTAACACAATTATGAAGTAAATCTTTGTCCTGAATTGTCAAAGAGAGCACATTACTAGCGATGCTATAGCAGTCTAATGAGGAACCCATCGTACTTATTAACACTATTATGATGTCAATCTTTGTCTTTGGTTGTCAAAGAGAGCGCTAAATGTGGGTGATCTGTAATCCTTATCAGCACGAAAAAAAAAGCGTTCACAAATCATGGCTTGGAGAGAACGAGAGTTCTGTAAAGTTGTACAATGTCTCGATTTCCATGCGATGTGCTTCTTAGTGGCAACGCCCGGTCAGTCGTCAGTGCAGACTTTGTTTCTCATTAAATTCGAGAACATTATAGTCGCCAAATGATTGCCAAGGAAAGATTGCCATTGATCACCAAAGAAAAGAACATGCCAATTACAGAATCAGTAATTTTACAGTCAATGCTACTTACAATGGATAGGACAACAGAAGCTATATGCCTGCTGTCTACGCACGTTCGTTGCGTCACCTGCTGGCGACACAATGACCAACTACGTCTAGTCCAGCTCAGTGAACAAGGGACCCGTATGCAGTTTTGAAAATTCAGATCGTTTTATCAGACTTGCTCAATGGCCGAGTTTACTTTCATTTCTCGCTCTTGTTGCTATTATAAATTATAACTGCAAAGCGTCTGGACCCATTATTTGCTAAAGAAATGTCTAGTAATACGGTTTCAAATGATTTAAAATGTAAGCACTATTTTCGCCCGTACAGAAAACATAAAATCTGCCTTTAACATTGTTGTTAAAAGAGTGGAATGAATTACCTTCCAGGACTGCCAGAATAACTGAGCCGCCTTTGTTTATTTTAGCATTGCTAACGTATTTAGAACCCTGTAACTTTCATTAAGCATTGTGCCTTATTCGATGTTTACTCTTGTATATAATAAGTATCCTAAGGCCCCTCCCTAATGGGTCATTCAGATACTCATTCAATTAATTAAATTTTAGACGATCCTGATGACGTCGTTTTCGACAATGACTCAGCCGGTAATCAGTTTGGTTACCACATTGTGCATGCAGTGGTATTCGTACTGAAGGCCGCACATTTGGTGCCAGACTGCGCAATGAATGTTTAGGGTGTGGGACTAACTGATACCCGTTTCTTCTCTATCGCTCTTCTTTTCTGTTAGGTGAAACAAACTGTAAGAAATGTGTAGTAACTGACCTGCTTCTTTGTTCATACCTGCTGCCGTCACATCTGTTCGCAAGAAGAGCTGCAGGTGTGAGCCAATCGCCGTGCTGACCTTTTAATAGCGAAGGGGACTGGCCAATTAACAAGCGAAGCCATCCAACGAGGAATGTTCCGAACGGGGCTTTCGTTTTGCGCAGTTACGGATCACGATCACCATTACTGTTTGTTAATAAGGGCCTTGCTCTCTGTCCCTCGGTTTCTCGGAAAGTGCAGCTTTTATAACTTTTGATGATGCAGACTCCCTTTTCTTTTCAATCCCCCTCTCTTGTTTTCTCGGTCTCACTCAGTGGTGGATCCATCAAGGTGGAGATATGGGCAGCGCCTCCCCTGCCTCCCCCCCCCCCCCCCAAAAAAAAAAAAAACTGTCAGCATCTCTCCACCCCCCATTCAGTGCCTGTCGTCCACCAACTATGAATGAATCAACAAATGAGTGGAAGATATTGGCAGTATTCATGTTGAGATGGGGTTTTTGTGGGGATAGTAACCTCTAAAACAAGTCAGCTTAGTCAGAACCACCTGCTTCCAATTTTACTTCAACCGACTACACCCACCTAAATTGAGTGCGCTGGATCTAGCATCACTTCGTGTGCTGTCTCTATTCAGCTTGTCGCACTTTTTTTTTTCGCATCATGTAGTACTATTATCTGAATTCCGAGTGTCAGAAGAAAGCCTAATGTTGGAGTATAGGGATTCTTATGCGATGCTCTTCCCCTTCGTTTAATACGAAGGTAGTCTTACTTGCAACATAATACAGTGCTGCAAAAAGCCATTCTTCAAATGGCAGGAGGCGGGGCTAACTTGAAAGCGGAAAGGAAAAAAAAAAACAGCTTCGACCACATTCAGAAATATTGTCAGTGGACCTTTTGGTTCTTGGCCTAAGCGGCATGAGTGAGTGCATGGCCACAAGACTTCGGAATGCCCCAACACAGCTGTCCTAACAAGAAGAATTGCGTTCAGAATTGAAGTTATGCTGTAGTGCACATACAGGCGCCAATAAAAGAAAGAACCATGAAAACCAGAATGCTACAATAGTGCGCCGAGCTGCGTGACGGATGGATGATTTTACGCAGATGTGACTTTGCATCCGTAAAGCTTGAAGCTTCCAAGAAGTATCACGAATGAATTATCGGAATAATCGAAATATAAACAATAGTTGAGCGAAGTTGTCAACTTATCAAGTTAATATAACTACAAACATACGAAGAAGGAGTACAAAAGTTAGTACTGTACAATTTTCAGGAGGTCACCTATTAGCGAAATGTAACATTTTCTTACAAACCGGTTCTATGTAAGGATCCGTGTTTTGCAGCATTTTCGCACAGTCCACGTGAACTGCTCTTGAAAAAACTGGGGAGAGGCGAATCGTGCAGTGTTTTGACAAATATTTCTTTTATGGGGCACTATAGCGGTTTCAAGTCTGCAACTAGACATGATTGGAAGGGTGTTTCCGTTCGACTAACGTCATCGGAAGACTGTGTCGGAATGCAGCTTACCCCAAGGCGATAATGTGCCATCTGTTTTTTTTTTAGAATTTATTTTGTGGAATTTACCCACTGTGGCATACGTCCGTTTTTTTTAATAATAAACTGTGACAACATTACACACGTCACGACAGGATTCGAGAAGCCGACAACCCCTAAGCTGCTTCGCACATAAAACAAGATTCGATAGAACAAAAATCAAGAGAGAAAGATAAAACTCTATGAAAATAAGGCTTCGTGGTTAATGTGAGTGGTTCACATCGTCAGTTGCCCCTTTCGCTATTACGGCAGGCCATGCCCGGTCAAGGGCCACCGATTGACTTCTCAAATGTAGTTCCTAGAGTCACACCTCTGGCTACCAGCTAATAAGCCGGTGCTTAATTAACGTAGAAACAGCAACCACCACACGCTCTGTGCAATGATAGGTAATGTTAAAATTATGGCTTAGTCGCACCATGATATTTCTTGCAGTCTTTTTCGAAAAAAAAAAAAGATATTTTGGGAAGTCTGGTGAATGGGAACACCGTACAATGGATACCTTTGTTTACACCGTGAAGGCAATTTGGCAGCCCAGCGCTGGATTGGTAAGTTGTACTTCTTATCTTATTCAACACTGCTCTCGTACAGGCCTCTGGTGCATTGCTTCTTTTTTAGGCTAAAAAAATAGAACAAGCAAGAAACGAAGTAAAGGAAGAGAGGGTGGAGCAGAGCAGCAATGAAATAATTAGTCCGTGGTAACTCAAAATCATTCATTCACGTGCCCGACTCCTCCGTGGCGACTACGTTGGTAAATCTTTTGTGTCAGTGCGCAGACGCGGTGAACAGTCTCTCCAGACCTCGGTACGGTCAGCTGCCAGCACGCTCTGCTGAGGGGAAGAAAAGGAGAACGGGAATTCCGTGCAATACCACGCGTACATTTACGGCTCCGAGAACGGACATTAGGCACGGAGAAACGGACTCGGCAGCGGCCGTCCCGACCACCGCGAGATTCAAGGTTTCGGAATGCA